CGCGATGGCATCACGGTCGACCGTCACGGTCGACCGCCGAAGCGGTTTGGGCAGAATCTGGGTTTCAGACCCGTTTCGTTTGGGTTTTCTATAAATACCCAAAACACGATTCTAGGGTTTGATAGGCAGGAGTTTGAGAGCTGAAAGGGGTTTTTTTTCTTTGGCTTCTATTCTAGGAGCAATTGGAGAGATTGAGAGTTGATTTGTGGAGGGTTTATGAGAGATTTGTAACCCTAGTTTGTTCCTCTTGATTTCTAATAGTGAAAACTCCCCCCTCCTTGCCCCGTGGACGTAGGCATCTCGCCGAACCACGTTAAAACTGGTGTTGATTGTTTGTGCTATTGATTTGGTATGTTTGTTTATCTTCTCTCGGCGGTTGTTTGGATCTCGGCATAGTAAGGGGTTTCCCCAACAAGTGGTCTCAGAGCTTCGGGCAACGCTTGGGCTTTTTGGAGGTGTAGATCAGTTGGGAAGTTCATCTAGAGCTTCGGTTGGTGATAAAGGTGGAATCTTTGTGGTAAAAATTCTATCTTTTTCAAGTTAGATCTATTTCTTAATTGTTTCCGCAATTGTTATTGGGTGCTTTGAGATATATGATAGGAAAAAATAAAAGTGGGGAGGGTTTTTTAAGTGTGAAGACCGTCCAAAGTTTGAGTATTCATTCTATGAAGATAGATGTAGAAAAGTTCGATGACACAAATAATTTTAGACTTTGGCGATGCGAAGTCTTGGATGCACTAAATGTGCAAAATTTGGAAGATACATTGGAGTTGGACGGAAAACCGGCCGACATTGATGAGAAGGTTTGGAAGAAAATGAATAGAATGGCGTGTGGTGTGATTAGGTCTTTCCTCACTCAAGATCTAAAATATGATATGATGAATGAGACTTCGGCAAAGAAAATTTGGGAGGTCCTAAAGGGCAAGTATTTGACGAAGAGCTGAAGAGGAGGCTTTATCGCTTCCAATTGAAGAAGGGGACATCCATTAGTGATCACATGAACCACTACACAAAAATACTTGTAGATTTGGCGAATGTAGATGTTATGGTTGAAGACGATTTTATGCTAATCTAATCGGATTTTATGCCAATTAAAACTAATTAATAAATTATCCTAGCAAGTATGAAATATAACATGATATGTGATCTAGGATAAGTAATATGAACAATGAGATATATCCTATATGATAAAAATATATGGAAGGATATATAAACTAACACAAGAGTGATATAATCAAACTACAAATATGATAGGGTAAAATATACAAGAGTAAAGACAATTGGCGATATAAGATAAATGCATGAGCAAATGCGCCAATGACAAACTCAAACACACTCAAATGATCACGGAGTTCGGACCTTCCGTCCTACGTCTCCGCTCCCCACTCCCGGGGAGAAATCCACTATCACAACCGGGTTTTTTACGTTCACCCGAATAACGTTTACACCTCACAATATCGGTTTTCAACGCTCACCGATCAACGTAACACTCACACTCACAATGTCGGTTTTTAACGCTCACCGATCAACATTCAATCCTCACACTCGGTTTTCTAGCTCACCGAAAACTTTACAATCTCACAATGTAACAAATAATAAATTTGTTCTCTACAACAGATGAGAACACAATGAAGGCTCACACTCAATTGTTACAACTCTTACCAACCAAAATATACTATGTATGAAAATACGATAAGCTCATGTGGGTGTGTGTAACAATGAGAATAAATAAAACTTAACTCAAGAAGAACTAGCAATAAGATTGATATGAAATACAATAATAAAAATGCTAGGAAATAGAGTTAAGGAAACTTCTCTACAAACACAAAGAGAGGATGATGAAATATTAAAGATGAACTCTTCAACAACTGATGTAAGCTCCTCTTTGTAAAACCCCAAACTTAAAACAAACTAACCAAGCTTAAACCCTTATTAAACTTTTGTTTTAAAAAACTTCTTGGTTACTGATAGAAGAGGGGTTGAGGGTTTTATATAGGAAGAGAAACCAACAGCCAAAAACCCCAAAGGAAAAGAGCCAAAAACACCAAGAATGCAAAAATCTGATTCACTGTACAAACCGAACTAGCCGTTGGGTAGTGAATGGCGGTCGACCGCTGAAAATCTCGGCGGTCGACCGCGAGAGACACTTTTGAAGCCGAGAATTTTCTAAGACTTTGGCGGTCGACCGTGGCGGTCGACCGTGGCGGTCGGTCGTGGGAAAATTCGAGCTGACGGTCGACCATGGCGGTCGACCGTGAAAGTTTCTATCTAACTCCGTAGGTAAAAACTCAGGTGCGGTCGACCGCGACGGCGACCGCAAACTGATACATGAACAGAACAGTTTGAAAGTTGGTTTTCTGATTTTAAAACCCTGTTTAAAAATATCAAATAAATTTGAAAAATTATAAAACATTTTGGAAATGATTGTAAAGCATGATAATAAACATGCTAGCAAAAGAACTAGTTTTTAAAAAAGGACTTTGCCAATGAGAAATATCTATTATTGCAAAATAGTCCAAAACATGAAAAGTAAACATAACGAATTTGGATATTTGGCTAAACCTGTTTTTAAAACAAGTACAAAATAATTATAGGACTTGAGGAAAGATGTAAACTATTATTATGAATTCTATAAACAATGAATATAGTATTTTATCAAAAATAACACATATAATTGCACTAAAACTTGATTTCATTGAACTGAAATAAAATTGATATTGATGAAATCACTATATATGCATGTAAGGAAACAAAAAAATATGTTTTCTAATTTTATTCATTGTTTCATCATCTTAAACTTAAAAGCTCAAAACATGTATGTATATATATAACTAAATATCAAGAAACCAAAACCTAACAGTTTATGAATATTATATAATATATATATATATAGTATATATATATATAATATATATATATATATTAATATATATATATATATATATATATATATATATATATATATATATATATATATATACAAAGAAACCAATAAAATATGTGTGTATATGATATTGAGCTTAACATACTTAACACACAAAATATAACACCTAAACTAAATTACCCAAGCTTGATCTTGATCTTCATTGTAGCTCAACTTGGTAACTTGTGGATGAAGCTTGAACTTGGATCTTCAACTTGAATTGTATGGTTTTACTCCACAATTCCGCCAACCTCCATTTGATATAATCGTGAATGCTCGATTTCATCTATCCTCCAACTTATTGTTTGTCTATAATAAATAACAAAATACAAACACTAGACAAATAATATTTGATGTAAATTTTTTATTAAATCATCATCAAAACAAGAAGGCCAACAGGATATTTAGCTACCCAGCACTTGGTCACATCGTTGATGTGAGATTGGATCTGATTGCGCATTTGGGAGTCAAATGCTCTTTTGGCTATCAGTTGAGGGCTTCTGATTTTGGTCTGAGCAGGTTTGTCACTTTAGACTCTCGGCAGGTAGAGAGTATTGATCAGATTAGTAGGATATCGCAGCGGGTGGAGGGTGATGCTACTCCACATTGGGTGGAGATTTCCCCGCATACTCCAGGTCATTCTGCATTATTTGGGGTTCCAGCTGAGGTGGCACAGCGTGGGAGTCATTTGATTTCGGATGCGGATGATGAGTTGGTAGATCCGAGTGCAGCTGGTGGATATAGCTTGGATACGGCCATTGGTTCACCTAAGGTGGAGGTGTTTAGATCGTTTGAGTATAGGGCCGTTGGTGATGCTGTTAGCCGCACATTGGATGTTGGTATTAGTGAAAAGTTGAGGACTCTTCTTTTGGATTGAGGGCCTTTGGAGGCCATAGGGTGAACTACGTGAAGGCTTGATTCCTTGGAGAGGATACGTAGGCAGTCAGTTTTGATGCAGCCGATTTGGTGAGTAGACACTTTTGGTTTGGGGTGAGTGTTCGCACTCCCGTTTGGGTCTCGACTTGTTGTGGATGGAATCCGTTGTCATGAGCCTGCTGCCATGGCGTACTGGACGCAACAAGTGAGGCATTTGGTGTGTTGGTGTCAGCTCAGTTTGGTAGAATCTTCTCCGAGGTGAAGATTTATAGAAATGCCAGAAATCAGGGATATGACAGTCGACAGGTTGGCAGTCGACCGTGGCGGTCGACCGCGTTCGTACACAGGGCTCACTGTGCGTCTGGACCTTTGGCGGTCGACCGTGTTTTTCTCTCGAGTTGGGGGCTGTTCCTGGAGTTGGGACGGCGGTCGCCCGTCACGGTCGACTGCCGAAGCGGTTTGGGCAGAATCTAGGTTTCAGACCTGTTTCGTTTGGGTTTTCTATAAAATACCCAAAACACGATTCTAGGGTTTGATAGGCAGGAGTTTGAGAGCTGAAAGGGGTTTTTTTCTTTGGGCTTCTATTCTAGGAGCAATTGGAGAGATTGAGAGTTGTTTGTGGAGGGTTTATGAGAGATTTGTAACCCTAGTTTGTTCCTCTTAATTTTTAATAGTGAAAACTCCCCCCCTCCTTGCCCCGTGGATGTAGGCATCTCGCTGAACCACGATAAAACTGGTGTTGATTGTTTGTACTATTGATTTGGTGTGTTTGTTTATC